GATCCTCTTGTCAGACTCCTTCTCTCCCACACTCCTTGCTAATGTGCCATGGCTGATTTTGGCTCCTAGTGCCCGAAGGCCGGCAGTTTGGATTGCAAAGGTCAGAAGAGCTAGGATTGCTCTGCTGTTTCCTTGTCTCAAAGCCTACCTGTATCTGACTATAGGAATTCGATACCATTATCTGAAACCTTGACCTTATTTAACTGCGATGCTCTCTGCACAGCACACTGTCATCTTGCAGGATCACATCAATGATGATGGTATCTTTATTTTTATTTCTGGGACTTAAACCATGCAGGCAGCCATGTGAGAGCCAGCCATCTTCACCACCCTGCCTCTGGCGGGCCCAAGGATTGGTTTTAATCAGAAGATGAGTTCAAATATGAGCCTCACTATTTGGAAATTGTATTTAACTGTCCTGACTTCTTGTTTCCTTGTACTTGAAATAAGGGTATTAAATTAGTTGATTTTTTTTAAATTAAATTTTTTTTATTCTTCTGTGTGTCTTTTTTTTTTTTTAATTTGCTATAGGGTATGCACTTTCACCAGAGAAAGAGTGGAAAAGTGAGAAGGCAAGCTACCAGGAGGTCTGGGACTCAAACCGCAGTTTGGCCATGTGAGAATTTAGTGCCTTAACTACTAAACCACCTGCTGGCCCTACATTCATTGATTTAAGGCAAGTGGTAGGAGAATGGGCTATGGTTGGCTCTCCGTAGAGACGCTCATATTTTGCTGGGCTGTTAAAATTAGCAGCAGGCACAAAAGCGGCCTTCGAAAGGGAGTGAATTTTCTGAGTCTCCAATTTGCTGTAATTAAGTTTGAAATTAAAAAGAAATATTGTTATGGAAATTCTCAAACACACTTAAAAGTAGAAAGAATAATATCATAGGTGCCCATGTTCCATGTAGTAGACTAATTGTAATACCTATAGCTTTTGGAATACTCTCTACCTGGCATGCTTCGGAAGGCATGTTAATTTATTTAATCTTTATAAATGTAATAGGTGCTAGATAGTACCTAATTTTACAGATGAAGGTCTTAAGCTTAGGGAGTTTAAGCAGCTTGTTTAGAATTCTTGGCAAGAATGTCATGGAATATACAGGCTTGTTTTTTTTTTAAAAAAAATATTGAACCAGCTGGAATTTTAATTACAATCTATTCTTATTTTTCACCTTAGATAATAATTATTTCCATTCATCATTATATTTGTTCCTTCCCTAATTTGCTTAATTATAATCTTAATACACAAATAATGTTCCTGAGAATATTATTGATGGTGCTGTAGTATGTGGAGTCTCTAGGGCTTCCATTAAGACTTTGCTATTCGTTTGTTTTTCTCTTTAGAGTTTAGAGTTAAACCCAAGCAGCCTGGCTTCAGAGGTCACAGATCTCATTTACCTGGGTCCAGGAAAAGCAGGTCCCAGTTAGAGCCTGCTCCGGTTGAGACTTGCCAGCTGATCACATCTGATTACTTTAACAGAGTATGGTGTCTGAAAAAGGAGGGTAGAATTCACCGACATTTAAAAAAAAAT